TTGAAAATATTGGTTTTATAGCAAAAAAAGAAAAAATAAATGGCTAACTAGCTGTTGGCATAATGCATAAATTTGATGCGTAAAAAAATGGTAAATACAGAAAAACGAAACGGAAAGGAAAATTACAAAAAAAGAAGGTAGTAAAGAATGTGCACGAGAAAAACAAGAAGTAAAAGAGTGCAAAAAAGTATGAAATTCAATTTTTATATTCCCGTTACTTAACGATCATCTATGCGCCAAGTAGTTCGTTGTAAAGCTGTTTTTTTATGCCAGTTCTATTCGAGGATAAGTGTCATCGTACAGTAAATATGGCACAAATCTTTATGTACATGTCCTAGGTAAAAGTTTCGCTTGGTCACAATATCCTACTCGACGATTGCAGATCCATCCGTTATACATGTACATGTGCATGTGCATCCGTTATCATTTGCATCATTTTAAAATGTGGTGTGGTTAAACGGTTTCAATCAATATTATGTTACCCGCGCAAACGGTTGTTAAAAAATTTCAAGCAAATATAGGTGATAATTTTCTCTGAAGTAATGTGTTGATTTTATTAAACTTTGCTGATAATAAAAGAATTAAATGGAATATAAGTGTATTGACGGCTAAATGTTTAAAAAAGATAATTTAGATTCATATATATGTATTAGATTATAGTATATACGAACTTTGCTTTTAAAACTTCAATAAACTTAAAACAATATATGTAACTTGTACTCTAGCTGATAGTAATGTAACGATAACGATCTACTGAACCATCAATTCACTTAAAAAATCTAAAATTGAAATAATAACAAGGGAATTGAGCAAGAAGAAAATTATCAAATTTGTTGAAAATTTGATTACACAAAAATTGGTTCAGTAATATAATAGATTGTAAAATTTAAGTTTAAGTATAGTATTCTCAAATAGAAAGGAATTCTTATTATTTATATATTTTTCATGCTGATAAATAAAGTTCTATAAAATTATTGGATAGCGATAATCAAACATTATATAGTCAACGAAATTCTTTCCTTAAAGCTTTGTTTCAAGCAGAATAAACATTTTTTTTACGCATTGTGTTTTTTATAGTTTCTAGACTCCGTTTTAGTAAACAGTCTTTTCATTCAACCATTTTACTTATCAACATATGATTGTTAACTTAACTCCGACGGAAATTGCTAAATGAACTAAAGTCGCAATAGAAGTGCTTTTTCTACATGCAGTTTTTTTTGACAAAGATATTTAGGTAATAGAATAAATAAATACAATATTAAGCTTTTTGTAAATAGCTACAAATGTATAATCCCAATAGTTTAAAATAATAAAAATTGTATTACAGAAAGAGTTTCCACATAATACGTGTAATTCTACAAAGAAAAAAGATAAATTATACGATCTTCTCTTAGGAACATTTTCGATTTTTTTAAACCATTTACGTATGCATATGATCATTGCATTAAATAGCGATAGCCATTATAAATGCATTGTTATTGTCATTATCGTTATACAGAATATTTTTTTACTTGTACATTGTTTAACGCATGATCACCGTTGTCGTTATACATGTAAATGTATTTTTATTCCAGTCTAATACCAGATATACCTGATCCATTCACGAATCATATTCATTCATGTCCTGACATAACATAGCTTAAAATTTGTTAAATTTCTAATTCACTTTGTTATCTATATCAAAATAAATGTTCTATTTATATCAAAATGATTCCTTTTAATAAGGATATAAGATTCCGAACTTTTTATAAAAAGATCCTTGCTTCTCCAATTTACAAGCAGCAACAAATATTAAAATATTAATACTGAACCAAATAGCAAATAACAATACCACGTTTAATAAAGTAGCAGATAACAATACCACGCTTAACAAAGTAGCAAATAACAATATTACAATGAGCCAAGTAGCAAATAACATTAACAATTGCTCTGATAAAACTACTCTTGATGGTATCGATATTTCCCAGTATGAAGAACTAAGGCCTCCTTATCCCCTTATGTTCAATGTAGAGGATTTATTTAAAAAGAATGATTATAAATATCGTCAAACATTAAAAACTGTAAATTCGTTTTTCATTTATCGAAAGGCTATGGTGAAGCAGAATGAAAAGGGAAGAAAGAAATGTGATATGCCAACATTATCCAAGATTGCTTCTATATTTTGGAGACAAGAACCACCGCATATTAAAAATTCTTATAAAAAACTAGCTAAAGACGCTCAAGATCTTTTCGCTAAACAAATTGACTTGCTACAAACCATTAACGCTGGAAAGAGTTTAGGATTTCCTCAATCACAACCGCAACCACAAACAGCAACTATCCATCCAATCAGACTGCCTTCTACTCCCACAATCAATGCAAACAACAATAAAAGAACACCAGTAGATACGAGTCCGTATCATCATCAAAAGCCAAGATTTAGTCCGATTCAAAATACATGTAGTTTTATTCCGATTCAAAATACATATGGTTTTAGCCGAAATTTAAACATTAATAATAACAATCAGCTTAATCAAGCGGATCAAATCATACTTAATCGAATTGACCAAGTCGTGAATGCTCGAATTGATAAACTCATGCTTCTTTATGTTCCACAAGCATAAATTATAACGATAAATATTAAACAATAGAGTACATTAGTTTCATCATTTTGTTCCATGAAAACGCCACAGATGCATATTACCGTTCCCAACTGTATATAAGCTTCACCTAATATCCCTCTAAATTCATTAAGACAACGTTTATTTTTACAAATTTCTTTATAGCAAATGATATCCCGTTAATATGACAAACATATAACATTAATTAACTGTGGAAATTAATGTTGATCATTTAACGAATCAATTATTAAATAAAAAATTATCGTATTTATTAAACATACGATAAATTAAAGAAAAATAAAATGGTGAATATACAGTTATATTGGTTCAAGTTTAAGAATTAATATGGCGTGCGTTTGCCATTGACTTCAATAACTTTATTTACGCGTCTAGGTGACTCAAAATTAACCCACGCAAAGTTTCCAAATCAATACTCACACATTCCTTTTGTAACATACGAATTAATTCTTGCTTTGATGTAGGTAACGGTCTTCTTTTTCGAATCTGGCGATCCAAAATATCCCACAGGTGTTCAATCGGATTGAGGTCAGGACTTTGACCAACCCAATCCAAAAGTTGAATGCCATGTGTTGACATCCACCAAATCGTATATATTGAGGTATGACATGGCGCACCATCTTGTTGAGACGTAGCGTATGGATATTGGCGAACATAAACATCTGAATTTATGATTTCTTCTACTGGCACCAAAGGATCAACCCTATCCTAACCGAAACACCCCCAAAACATCACTGACCCTCCGCCAAATTTAACAGTAGGTTTAATGCATTCTTGATGGTAAGCTTCACCAGATTTCTGCCATATTCATCTGATTCGAAAAGTGCAAATTTGGACTCATCAGACCAGATTATATTTTTCCATTGCACATTTCTCCCGGCACCAATTTAATCAACAAAGTTCTTGATTTGGAGTCAAAAGAGGTTTTTTTCTTGGAGTATAGCTTCCAAATCCTATTTCATCTATGTATTCGTGGATGGTATTAGAATGGTAAGTTGTGTTGAGTTTGTCATTTAGTTTATTTGTGATTTCACCAAGTGGAGAAAACCAAATTTTTAGAATGACTCATTTTAATGTACACTTTTCATTATTGGTCAGAGTTTTTGACCGACCAGAAGGTTTTTCAGGATGCTGGGAATTGGTTTCTTTATATCATTTTATGGTATCATACTGTTGCTTGAGGAATATTGAATTTAAGTGCAAGGTTTAGACCTTTGACGCCAGCGAGATAAGCGCCGATTATTTGTTCGTTCGTCAATTGCTTTCCACGCATTATAAAAAAGAGAAAAAATGGGATTGTTTTTTGTTTATTGTTAAGTTTGTGTTATTATGTATGATGCCAATAAAATTGGCTTTTTAAACTTTGGATCGGCATTTTACACGATCAATTTCCGGTAATATACTGTAGGGGTGTAAATTAATTGCGTATAACTTTCTAATAACTTAACAATCTATAATGATAACAAATTACAAAGTTATATGCAAAATTTACAGCAAATCATCAATCATAATAACGATAATGATTATAATCTTTGCTTGGCAATAGTCCTTAAATTATAAATACGCATTAACGTGAAAATTCTTTTTTACGCGAATTAACGTAAATAAATTCAATTTCAATAAATTCGATAATGAAAAATCTAATTGTTGCTATTACAATATTACATGTAACTGGCTCCGAGGTTTACTCATTGAACAGCAATTTTCCCACTCTAAATATATCTCCGAAAAAAATAGGCAGCATAAAACCTATCGATTACAATCCTCTATTCAATCCAAGTGGTCAGTGGTCGACGAACGATCGTCATTGTCTTAACGTCTATACGCCGCCGCCGAATTCCGTAGTCGTACCATTTTACGACGTGTGGATACGATGGAACAAAACAAATGAATGTGGAGATCCCGTGACTCCATTGACAAACTTCATTCTCACTTTACACAATAATCCGAAAAATGAGAATAACGCTGATAGTCCGAAAATTAAATCGGAATGGGAACATCCTATCACTTATAATGTCAAAGAATATCAGTATGAATGGAAAGTGCCATTGATTGAAGAAGGCGTTGTAAAGAATATGAGTTTATTTTACATTAGAGTATCAACTGATGCTGTGTTGAGTTCAGGCTCTTTTACTGTGTCGGGTGTAGCCGGTCCGTTTACTATATGGACTATGCCAGATAAAGAGAATAAGACATTATATGCTCCACAAGAAAAACCTAATAATTTGACAAATAATGGGGAATTGATCGCAACTCGGAAAATATTTTTAGAAAATATTGTAGTTAGTCTCATTTTTCATTTTTTAGCGTATGCTTTTCTTGTAATTTGTTGTCATTTATAAATAATATATTGGTGACTTTTAGCATAATATCGCTGAATTTCAAAAACTTCGCAATCAATTCACAAT